GTTCTTTTCAAAGGTTTTGATTGACTTATAATAAAAACTTTTAATAATATATAGCCGGAAACATACTGTTTGAAAAATGAATATAGCAAAAGAAAAATTGAAGATAAGAACATATTATTTCATAGTAATTGGACAAAAAAATACGCATTAATTGAAAAAGAAAATAAACCTTTGTGTTTAATTTGCAATACTGAACTTGCTCATAATAAGACGTTCTTTATAGGTTTGTAGAACAAAATTTAAATTTGTCGCTTCAGGGAAAAAAAATATCAGACTATATTTAATTTTCAAAAAAAAGTTGCTCTTTTTCAGATCTTATCTTAAAAACTTTTAATCATTTTCCTCAAACGAAGATGATTCATAAAGCTAACCCTGCAATTCAGTATGATGATCATATAATGGAACATACCGAGAAAAATTACAGAGTTTATTTGAAGACTTTCAAAACAGGTTTAAAGGTTTGTATGCTCTTAAATCATTTTTAGTAAATCCTTTTTTAATTGATATTATTAGCGTTGGTTGTCCAATGCAAGAAAATATACTTAAAGAAACACCTCAATTTTAAAATGGAATTACAAGATCTCCAAGAAGATCAAAATCTTCAAATACTGCATAAAATACTAACTTTATTGGATTTTTGGAAAATAGTTTCTGAAGTTAAGTATCCTCAACTAAAAAGGATTAGTATAAAACTTATATCAATTTTTGGTTTACCATATACATGTGAATCTTTATTTTCAACTATGAAATTTGTTAAATCAAAGTATCGTACCAATCTAACAAGTAAACATTTGTTGCAGTTGCTTAGAATATCAACTACAAGCTTAAAACCACATTTTAAAAAATTTACCAGTTGTGTTCAAAATCTTAGTGCCTAATAAATTTATAGTAAGTTAGGCAAGTTATTGTGCAAGAAGAATTTTCTAATGGTCTTTTACAAAAAATAATTGATGTTATAAAAAAAATTCTTTTTGTTATGTCTAATTTTTTGCTGAGTGATGAAAAATATTTTCAAGTTGTAAAAATAAAAGTAATTTGAATTTAATTAAAGTTCATTGAAAAACTTTTTATATTGGGTAGTCATTTATTTATTTGATAACTTTTAGTTTTTAGTAAATTATGCTATTAATTGGTTATAAGGAAGTTCAATTCGAATAAAAGCAAGTTTAATTCAAATACATTAAAATAATTTTTTTTCGTAAAGAAACCTTTGTATCTTTAGATTTTTATATTTTGCTTACAATTATTTTTATAAGAAAATTTGCTGTTGTTGTAAATGTGTTAATTTTTTTAAAATTACAATATGAAGATGCTTTCTTAATTTTTCTATAAATGGTTTTTCTAGTGTGAATAAAACGGAATTAGATTTTATGTAGCCAAATTTACAATTAAAAAATAGTTTTTAATTTCTTCATTGCAAAAAAAACTAAATACTAAACATAAGTTGTGTATAAACTAAGTTTATTTATAAAAGTAGAATTTCCATTTAAAAAAATCAGAATATTGATGTATAAAAAATCAAAATTTACATTTGTTAATTATGTTTTTTATGATGAAGTTGGCATAGCAACATATTTATTGCGGCTCTTCGGCACACGTCAGTATTTATATGCGGTTTAGGGGTCGTCCATAAAGTACGTACGCCAAAAATTCTGAAATTTGACACCCCTCCCCCTGTTGCCATGCGTACTTTTAAGTCCCACCCCCCTTAAAAAGTACGTACATTTTTATGAACCCCCCTCCCTCAAAGGAAAAATAAAGGTGGAGGAGATACCCTAGATACTTTAGAAGTATCTACGGTACCTCCTACACCTTTTTTATTTCAATAAATTTTTTTATAAAAAAAAAATAGGCGGGGGGTGAAAAACGTATAAAGTATTTATACAACCCCAAAGCCCATTGTTAGCGGCAAAGGATTCTAATTTAAAAATATCATTAAATATATACAAATATAAATTTAAATATAATTAAACCTTGCAATATTGAAGAGATCGCTTATGTTATCGGCAGTACCAGCGGAGATCTGAGTTCGATTCCCAGTAAAGTCCTATTTTCCTTTTTCTGTTTAATGAGACGCATCAAATAAAAATATATAATAAAGCAGACGTTTTTTTCAGGCACCCCTCTGTAGTAAGTCCGTAAAAAGCGATTCACGCGAGAAGAGTAATATTGAAAACAAAGCTTAAAATTCAGTGTCACTTGACACTGTAGTGTAGGCTACCCATACCCCGTAATTAGAGGATATGGGGTGTTGTGGAGGAGCAGCAAGTTTTATGCCCTTTTGCTATTTTATTCTAGCAAAACCTAGCGGTAAAATTTTGAAGATTTTGAGACTCTAATGATACGTTTTTTTATTTTGAAGGGAAGAGGGGGGTCTCCAACCTATTAGCCATTGCACTGGTAAAACCTTTTTTTTGTTGACTCAAAAATTAGGCAAACTATTTTTTGCACATGTATGCACACATGCCACTCCTTATATACTGGCCCTTAGTATACTCAGGGCCAGTATATAAGGGGTGGCATGGGCGCCTGCAGGATTTTTCGATGTTTCAGATAGGACACTTTCACTTAATGCGCAAATTCCAAACTTAAGTATGTTTATACCTATGCCAAATTTTTAACTTAACTATCTAAAATTAAATTCAAATTTATCGACAGAATTTAAATTTTGGAAAAAAATATTGTAAATTACAAAATGTAAATGTAAATGTCGATGCAAAATGTACAATCCCATATATTTAGTACAATCCCATTTATTTATTTTTTTGGAGGTTGGGGGTTGGAAAATTCTACTACATTAGTGGCCTCACGTTTGGGCAGGGGAGGGGATGCAAGCATTTGAGGGGTTTTTTGTTCCCAGACTACCGCGATAACAATTTTTTGGAAGGCCTCTTCAAACGGCATAGGTATAAACATGCTTAAGTTTGTAGTTTGCACAATGTGTGGAAGTGGTTTATCTGGAACATAAAAATTTTTTGCGGGCGTCTATGTGATGATAGGGGTATACAAGTTTTTTTAAAAAAAAAATTAAAAATACAACCCAGTAAACACACGACGTTTAAAAGACGCCTAAAAAACGTCTATAAGACGTCTAGACGTCTAAAAGACGTTTTTTAGACGTTTTTTAGACGTCGTGTGTTTACTGGGAAGAAACTTTTTCTTCTTATAAAAAAGGGGGAGGGGGTAGTCATAAAAAAAGTAAAAATAAAAAAAAGGGGTAAAAATTTTCCAAAAAAAATAAAAATAAGAAAGAAACTTGGGTTAGAGGGTTAAGGGGGTTAGGGGTTAGGGGGCTAGGTAGGTGTCAGGGTAGGAGGCAGGGGGTAGGGTGGAAAAATATAAAAACATAAATCAAGTGATAAGCAGGTAGCTTAAAAAATCAATGTTATTGGGTGTAGTCAGTGTGTGTGAAAATAGGCGTTATCAGGTGTCAAGAGGTGTTAAGGAGGTAAGCGGAATGTGTTAAAAAATATATATATATAAACCGTTAAAATATGTTAAATAAATAAAGTGAAAAAAAATAAAATTTTTATTTATTTCACGTGTGTTTTTAAATTTTTTTTAAAAAAATGGTTCGAGACAAAAAATCTATGCGACATTCTGTACAATATATAAAAGAACAAGAGGAAAACAAAAGATACTTTGTCGATTTCTTTCGTCGTATAAAACGACCTAGCGCCAACCTAGCTCAACAAAATAACTCGGACGTGGACTTTGTTGTGGAAAGAGGTAGCAATTCACCTAATACTCGATCAGGGTTAATGTGCAAAAGAAAAACAAAACAAAAATATAAAGATAACAAACAAAATAGAAAGAGTGGACGAGTTGAAAAGAGTGTATATAAATGGGTATTGACAAAGAAAAGTTTAAGGTATATTATATGTTTAGTTAATGAAAATAATTTTAAATAAGTTAACAATAAAAAAATTGATTATTAAATTGCATTATGGCGCGTACAAAAAAAATATCACGTACAAAAAAAATATCAAAAAGTGAGTTAAAAGAATTAAACAGATTATACCATCGGCACGGTGGAAAAATTGCAAATCAATGGCGTCAATTAGGTTGACAGCCTCAAGTTGTAGTAAACAAAATGGATAGTAAAGAAATTGCAAATCGAACAGTAAAAAAGATGGATTGCAAAACGGTTTGGTACAAAAAACGCGCAACAAAACAAAAATATAAAAATACAAAAAATAATATTAAAAACGGCGTGGTAGGAGATATAGTACATAAATGGGTATTAACAAAAAGGTAAAAAAAAAATAAAAAAAGTTGTTTTTATGGTATTGTTTTTTTTTAATAAAAAAGAATTTTTTATAATTAACAATTTTACAAAATAATAATATTTACAAAACAAAAACATCGAAATAATGTTCTAATATTTTAGTTTCTATTATTGCTTTTTTTTGATCGGTTGGTAGGAGTTCAAAATATTTTAAAAAAGTGTTTTCTAGTCTGTTCACAATATATTTGAAGATATCGATTTGCGAATCATCAGGGTCTAATTTTTGTAATTTCATATCGTAATCTAATAGTGACTGCAACATCCCCATATTCATGCGAACTAAATCGTTTGTGAAATCGATTTTATTGAAATCCATTTTTTTATTTATCTAAAAAAAAAATTAAATTATTTTTATTTTATACACTTAGATGAAAAAAAGACAAAAAAGAAATACGCATTACAAAAAAACCAAGCGAAAAACTCGAAAAAAGGTAAAACGAGGAAAAGGATTGGCTTCGTTAATAACAGTGGACAATGCAAAAATGATTGGAAAATTTGCAATTCAAAATGCTGACGTTTTAGGCACTTTAGCTAATTCGCTTTATAATAAAATTAAAGGAAAAAAGAAAGAAACGCCTGTAAAAACGCAAGAAACGCTAATAAAAACGTTGCCTACTGATCTTTCACAAATGTCATACGAAGAAAGACAAGCTTATTATAAAAATTTGTAACAAAAAAATTATTTTTTTTATAAATAATAAAAAAAGCATACAAATTATTTAAAGTTTAAATCGTCATCTGACAATTCTTCTTGTTTGCTCGAGTCTTCTGATATGCTTTCTTGTTTAATACAAAATGGTTCATGCATTGGATCGTTATTATCGCAAAATGGTTTTTTTTTAATTTTGTTTTTAATTTCATCGAATATTTCTATGTTTTTTTCGTAATTGACTCTTTTTTTTCTTTCATGTGCCCATGACGCTTTTCTTAGTTGTTGTTGATATCTTTTTTTAAAGACTCTGATTTGAATTTGGTTATTTTTAAGTTTGGTCAAAAGTTTATTAATTTGTAATAGTGCGCTTGTGTTTTCAGAAAGTCGACTAATTATATTATCTGGATTTCGTTCAGTACTAAAAAAATTAAAAAAAAATAATAAAAAAAAACTATACAAGTAAATAATTTGTTTTATGGTAAATAAAAAAAGCACTTACGTAATGACATAGTAAGATTCAAGATCGCAACGAAAATTAATCAAAAGGTTGGTCGCTTCTTCTTGAATTGTTTTTGCTAATTTAATTTGTATTTTTAATAATTTTTCCTTATCTGTCTCTAAATTTGATAAATTTTCTTTTTTCGTTTCTGCGTCCATATTTTATTTTTTTTCTTTTTAAAAAAAATTATAATAAACTTTTTTTTTATAAGCTTTGATTAAAAAACTGGATTTTCTAGTTATTAAATAAATAAAACAGTTTTATAACATCGTGGGAAGGTTTAAAAAAAATCATATGATAATAAAGTTTCTTTGAAGAAAGCGCTATTTTGATAGCGCTTTATCATAAGATGTTATTTGAGTGTGTTTTTTTATTTGGATAACCTTTAATACGTTTTGAGGATGAAGCAAAAAAAAAATCATATGATGTTTTTTTCAAGTCAGAATATTTGCGTAACTTTTAATACGTTTTTGAAGGTGAAGCAAAAAAAATATCATATGATGTTTTTACAAGTCAGTTTTTTATTTGCACGCTTTGTTTGTAGTGTAAATAAATTAAGGGTATAAAAAGACGAGCTTTTTTATTAAAAAACCAGAGTAATGGCAACGCTTGGTAATAACAATATTGAATTAAAAGGTGTAGTTTATAAACTAGTGAAACATTTGTTGTATTGTTGGAAAGAATTTGCAGATTTCTTAATGTTACCTGTAAACACAAAGTATAACATAAGGAAAACACATTACAACGATGAAGCGAAAATGTATGCTCTGTTAAAACATTATTTATTGCAGATGCGATATTCTAGTGCAAATGAACAACTAAAATGTTTACATAATCGATTTGTTAAATGGAAAAATGATGTTTTTCACACGATGCAAATACTACAAGATGCTTATATTAGCGACCGAACTTCAGCCTGTGAGAAATCTTTAAACAGAGTTAAAATTTTAAATTTAAAACGCAAACATCGACTTATGCAAAAATGCCTTGGATATTTTAAAGACTGATAAAAAGAATTGTAAGTGAAAAACTTTTTTAGTCTATAAACAAAATTTGCACATTTTTTAAATGTTCTTTTTCAATAACTTTTTTAATGTTTGAAGAACGAATCCATTCATAAATGTCTTTAATAAAAAAAGATCTAGAGTTCTCCAATCTACTCCAATACTTTTACTAAGCTCTATGGTATATTATGGTATATACTGATCAAAACAATTTATAAGAGCCAAAATAAATCTTATAAATAAAAATCTATAGTAGTTTATATCATTTTCAGATAAATGTTTGTTATCAACTTTAGTTTTTTTCAATTGTTTAACTGTCACTATGGTATATTGTGGTATATTTCAAAAGAAACTATCGCTAACTAATATGGTCACTTGTATTGCAATCTAACCATTTTTTACTGATGTCATTATATTGCGCTATTAGACAAACAGTAATGATAAAATAAGAATCATTTTTCAAATCTTCATCCAAACAACTGATAAATACCAGGCGGCAAATTGTTAATTTTAAAATTACTAAATGTTTTTAATTCACTATTAGACGATTTGCGATTTGTTTGTGATTTAATGTAGGTAGGAAAATTATGAAGCATACTTTTACAAGATAAACAACAAACATGTGTAAAATTTAAATAAAGAATTACAATAAAGATTTTTATTAATTGATTTGCCTTTATTGATAAAGGAATTTTGAATTTTCAAAAGAAACTATCGCTATCGCTATCTATTATCGTTTTTTATTGCTATTAACTTTCTTAAATTAAGTTCTTATTTAATTTGCATCACATTATCGCGGAGAAATCTGTGTTTTGTTAAAGAACAATAACGACCGTGAGTTTGTAATTAAAACAGATTTAGCTATAGCTCAGTGAAGAAAAAAATACAATAATGATGTTTATTACAAGAAAATTTTTATTTCTGATTTTTATTTATCTCTTTGTAGTTTTACTAGAAAACTCGATAGTTTGTATTTTTTCTTATAAAAAGAACTGTCATCATATTGCGCTATTAGACAAACAGTAATAATAAAATAAGAATCATCTTTCAAATCTTATATAGTCACTTAGATCATCTCCTTTTTTTGCCAACTTTTTGGAATGGACTTCTGTAATAAATGACGTCTACACAAGCTTTTGGCATAGAAATAATCAGCAGATCTTAATTACATTATTGCGATTTTTAAAGAAAATTCGGCTGAAAGCGTCAATGAACTAATTGTTTCTGATCAAAATGTTCAAATATTTAGTTGGTTTTGTGTCAGTGCTCATGTTTTATCGCTCAGAAGTGGACAGATATAAAAAAAACTTAAAGTCTTGTCGTCTTGTAAAAATCAATATTTAAATATCTAGTGCATTATGTTTGATTAATGGAAATTTTTTTTAAAAAAAGTGTGGAATTTAAAAAAAGAATTTAGTGAAGAAAAAAATACAATAATGATGTTTATTACAAGAAAATTTTTATTTTCGAACATTTTTTTATGCAAGCTCGTTGAAAATAACATTTTCTTTGCATCTCTACAAACAGTTTTCACTCCTAGTACTTCCTCAATTTCTTATAAAAATGTCTTTCTTTTTTTTTTTAATTAAAAAAATGTTTTTTTAAAAATTTATATTTTTTTTTTTTTTAAAAACTAACAATGACTATAACTATAATTTTTTTATGACCATTAACGCTATTTTTTGCTCATTAACACTATTTTTTCGCTTTTAAAAAGCTAACAATATCGCTACGACCTATTTGTTCAAATATGACTAAAAACTAACAATGACTTTAACTATAATTTTTTTAATCTTATTCGTTAAATAAAGGACTTATTCAATTAGGAAATGATTTATTAAACTAACAATGAGTGATATATAATATAACTCTTATTTATATAATTTTTAATGCTTTTATTGAATGTTGCATTAAACATAAATAATAATATTTTCTCTTTATATTAACTTTAAGTTTTTTAACTTTAAGTTTTTTTTTAATAGCTAGGTATGATTAAAGGAAGAGATAAAACTTGTTTTATTGAAAAATATATTTAAATATTACATATCTGTACATATAATTAAACAAAATCTACACAAATTTCTTTTCTTTTCCAGCACCTTTTATAGAAATAGAGCGTAATTTTGAAAGTCAATCAATGTTCTATTAACAAAGGTTTCTTTTGGTCCATTGAATATAATAGAAATGTATAGAAAATATAATTTAATAATAAAATTGAATATAATATTAAATATATAGAAAATAGTTATAAATTATAATTTTTTAAACTTCTTCATCTACTTGTTAAATTCCAAGAATCGACTGTTCGAACACTTGACGTCATTCACCTTCTTTTAGATCAGGTGTGGGCTTTAGATTATTGCCAACAACACTATAAAATTTAATTAATACACAAAGTCTCGTACAACTTGTTTAGACTCTTCTAGTAACCTTTTTTTAACATGTTTCCCTGATTTTGATTGCAATGGTGTTCCAGTAGTTAAAGATTTATTAAACTTATGAAAGTAAAAACACTCTATGGCTGCTAATATTCAATGTTGAAAGATAATATGATTTACAAACTCTATATTGTGTATTAGAAACAAAAAAGCTATAATATCCTTGTTAATTTTTTATAATCGATTGTTCGAGCACTTGTTCTTTCTGTTCTTTCTATTCTGCTAAAAAAAACCGTTTCTTTTTGAGTTATACAACATTTCCAGAATCGCGAGAGATCAATTTTTTCGTATGGATTTTTAAAAAAAAGTTTAACGTAAAGATTTTTGTCAATACGAATACATTCAGCAACATGAGGTATGTGAAGTTCATTTTGAATAATTTTATGACAAGTACTTTTTTATTGAAAGGTGTTCAAATAAAAACAAGTTTAGATTATGTAAAAATAGAGTCAGGAAATCTTAGGCATCATTATCGTAAATTGCTTATAAAAAATCGAAAAAATAAATCGATACAATAGTTGATTAAGCCATCATTGATCGAAATCCATATTAGCGGATGTTCTCTTAATTCGGTCAGAAGAATGCCTACTTACTCTCCTAAAAAGTTGGATGATTATTGGTGAAAATAGACGAATTATTTTTTTACAGAATTTCTATTATTAAATAAAAAAAATGAATAGATTAACTCAAAATGAAAGTCTTAAATCAAAAAAAATCTTTAACCTAGAAAAATTTTATGGATATCGAAACGTTATTCGGATGAAAACCTAGATGACCTAATTGTTTATGATCGTGTGTTTATCGAAAACAAAACAAGAGAATAATTAAATAAATTTGCCATTTTTCCAAGTTTTACTTTATCGTGCAAATATCAAAATGAAGTTTACTAAATATCAAAAATGAAGTTTACGCAAATATCAAAATGAAGTACTTTTTTTATTAAGTGACTATATATTAAATAGCGATTGTAATCGTGTTCATGGATCGAGATTAAATAGATTTGAAAAAAAGTAAATTGCTTATAATATAAAAAATGGAAAAAAATAAATAAATACATTAGTTAATTAAGCCTTCATTGATCGAAATCCATATGGTCAATAACGATTTCGAAATACAACAAATACAACGATAAACGACTAAACGCAACTCTATATTATTTAACAAAAAATGAATAGAGTAACTCGAGATGATTGGTTAGTAGTCGGTGAACATTTGACTAAAGACAACGTCAAGAAATTGTTATATATGTTACGAGTACCACTTGGAAAAAAAGAAACTATTCAAGATGGTTTTGAATTTATAAATTATGTTATTGAAAATGGTGATTTGAAAATGGTGATTTCAATATTTGAACAAATAGGTCGTAACAACATTGTGAGCTTTTTAAAAGCGAAAAGTAGTGTTAATGAACAAAAAATAGCATTAATGGTCGGAACTGAAAGTGATGATTATTTTTTTCCGCTGTCAATAACAGACTATACATATTAATTGTACATATTAACTATATTTTATTAACTATACATATTAATTGTACATATTAACTATATTTTTTTCTTTTTGAATTGCTTACTTTATTGATTCGAGATCTTTTTTTATTTTTAAAAAATTGTATTTATTTTATTTCTTTAAAAAAAATATGTTATGAAAATAATAGTTTTTTCTTATAACTCATTTAAATAGTATGTTTGTTTGTTTTTTTATTTTTTATTTGATTAAGTTAAGCGATTATC